TGGCTGATTAGAGCGTGTCCAGACGAGGTGCGGGCCCCTGGGGATATCATCAATTTGTCCCTTGGCACCGGGATATTTCCAGGGAATTGAAGGAGGCAGTGGTGCGCCCGCTCTTAAAGAAAACATCATTAGATCCCTTAGATCTATCCAATTACCGCCCGGTTTCGAATCTTCCATTCCTGGGTAAGGTGATTGAGAGAGCGGTTGCTGAACAGCTTGGTAGGTTTCTGGATGAAACATCGGCTCTGGATCCATTCCAGTCTGGCTTCCACGCTGGTCATGGGACCGAGACGGCTCTGGTCGCCCTAACAGATGATCTCCGCAGGCAGCTGGATCGAGGCGGGTCGGGGCTGCTGATTCTTCTAGACCTGTCAGCAGCCTTCGACATGGTTGATCACGAACTCCTGGACCACCGCCTTGCCGACGTGGGGATCCAGGGCACAGTCCTTCAATGGCTGCGCTCGTTTCTCTCCGGTCGGGGACAGAGGGTGGCGCTTGGGGGGGAATTGTCATCCCGCCACTCCTTGGTGTGTGGAGTGCCTCAGGGTGCGATACTCTCCCCGATGCTTCTTAACATCTTTATGCGCCCCCCTCGCCCAGCTTGTCCGGAGTTTTGGGCTGGGTTGCCATCAGTATGCCGATGACACCCAACTCTATCTGTTGATGGATGGCCATCCTGACTCGGCCCCAGACACACTGACCAGATGTTTGGAAGCTGTGGCTGGATGGTTACGCGGAAGCCGGTTGAAGTTAAATCCTTCGAAGACAGAGGTCCTCTGGCTGGGACGGGACGATATGGGATTGGGGGGGCAACTCCCATCTCTTGCGGGGGTGCAATTAGTGCCAGCACCGTCTGTTAAGAGTTTGGGTGCAATCTTCGATACCTCCCTCTCTATGGAGGCGCAGATTACAGCTATAACAAAGGCGGCATTCTTACATCTCCGCCAAGCTAAGCAGTTGGCCCCTTATCTCTCTCGCCCTGACCTAGCCACTGTGATCCACGTGACGGTCACCTCCAGACTGGATTATTGTAACTCGCTCTACGTGGGGCTGCCCTTGAGACTGACCCAGAAACTCCAGCGGGTGCAGAATGCCGCGGCGAGACTCCTTATGGGGTCTTCGCTGCGAGATCACATTCATCCGGTACTATACCAGCTGCACTGGCTCCCGGTGGAGTACAGGATCAGGTTTAAGGTGCTGGTTTTAACCTTTAAAGCCCTATACGGCCTAGGACCCTCGTACCTACGGGACCGCCTCTCCTGGTATGCCCCACAGAGGAACCTACGGTCTGCAAATAAAAACATCCTGAAGGTCCCAGGCCTCAGAGAGGTTAGGCTGGCCTCAACTAGAGCCAGGGCTTTCTCGGCTGCGGCTCCAATCTGGTGGAACGCTCTGTCACAAGAGACTAGGGCCCTGCGGGACCTGACATCTTTCCGCAGGGCCTGCAAGACAGAGTTGTTCCACCAGGCCTTTGGTCAGGGCCCAGCCTGACCCCCTCCTCTGGCAACCTGCACAGAACTTTGCTTAACGGTTGCCATTAATTTGATTTTAATTAATTTTATAATGAAATGTTTTAGAATGTTGGATTATTTGATTGTTTGATTATTTGTTTGTTGTTAGCCGCCCTGAGCCTGGCTTTGGCTGGGGAGGGCGGGATATAAATAAAATTTATTATTATTAGTAGTAGTAGTATGGATAGGGTACAGGTGTTCACCCTAAATATTTCTCCAATCCTCAGTGAGAACAGATGGAATCAAAAATGGTTCTTGCATGTTTTGCCCCAAAGCTCCAAGACAATGCACACACTTATCAAGCTGGTGCTGGCTCTAGTGGGCCTCTTACCGTGGAAAAATGTGATTGTGGAAAAGATTCTCTCAGGGTGACTGTGACCTGTTTCTGAGCTCCACAAAATGAGAGTTGCAGCAGCAGCATCCTTGAAGTGGAAGGCCCTTGCAGATGGCAAATGTTTGACTTAATTACCCTCCGTCCTATTTTAGTATCAACAGTTCCTTTGCTAACAATTTATTTTTGAATTATCTATACAGAGTTATAATTGGGTTGAGAAATTATTGTCATTTTTATTTTTAATTTTTACTTCCTTCACAGTTTCTTGATCATGGTTTGTTGTGTGGGGCGGGGGCAGGGGCAATGAATGTCCCTGTGGAATGTAAAAAAAGATCACACACATACAGAAAGAGAGAGAGCCAGGTTATTTAGCTTGCTTTTAAATTTTCATTTCAAAGCATAGTCATTTCAAGGGGAGGCCATCAAAGCTTCTCACCCTTCTATCTGGCTTTATTAAAAAGCAACTGAAAATGTAAAAGGGGGGGGGAGAGAAGGAAGAGCAACATTCAACCTATGGAAATTTAACTGAAGTAGAGAAGTAGCTCCACATCAGATGAAAGCTTTAGTGCCCCTTCGATTTTCACTTTATTTGTTAAAAGATATCTAGGTTAAAATGAAGCTTGACAAATGTAAACGGTTTAGTGTCACATGTGCAAAAAAAAATATTAAAAGGTTGCTCCAGTCAGGTCATTTGGCATTTTGATGATGCAGCTAAAAGAAGAAGAAAGGAAGAAATTGAACAATTTTGTCTTAAAATCTCATGGAAACACTTGTAGGCAATCCTCAAGAGGTCTAGAATATAGGTTAGATGTGTAAACTTGCTTGAGTTATCCACATGTGCTCAAACAGGACCAAAACTCTGAGTACTTTCCTTCAAGACATCTTACATTCTATTTTGTGTGTGTGTGTCAGGGGTTTTGGTATGAGGAGAAAGGAAGCAAGCAAGCAAGGAAGGAAGGAAGGAAGGAAGGAAGATGTCAGTGGGCCAGGCCAGAATCAAACAAGGTTCAAAGGCCTGATTTGGATATATTCAAGACAAGGCCTGCCATCCACTGCTCTGTGTCTTAATGCAGACCTACCGGTAGGTAATCAGCCACAGCCACCATGAGCCACCATTGGCAGGATTGGCAGCAACAGCTAAAAAGCTGTGATTGGAAGGTGGCCCTTTCCCATCCTTTGAACCCCTTGGGAAAATCAACATACCTTCTGTACGGTATGAATATCAGCTGGGTATGGTGAGTGCAGCTGAATGGGACACAGTTATGGGAAGCTGGAGGAAGGACTATCCATCTTGAGACTGCCCATAAAAAGGAAGTCTAGAGTGAGAGACTAGGGGACTAGGGTGAGGTCCGCTGCTTCCAGGAACTCTTCTCATTATAAGACTTTTGTGGGTGAGCTAAGAGTTTGTTTGGACCCTGGATGAGAACCCAGAGGTAATTTTGTATTAATGTAACATTTTTACATGCAACTGTGTCTTGTTGCTTCAGTTTCCTATATACCACTCAGAGGTATTTTGAATATATTAAGTGGTATAGAAATTAAATCAATAATCAATCCATGCTTGGAGGTAGCTTGCACCATCTGTCCTGATTTACAGATGACAGTCCTCTGTTTCAAGGAGAAGTCTTCTCTTTAAAAGTCTGTCTGGTTTAAGGAAGGAATGCTAGACACGAGAAACTGGCTTTCCTATAAATTAAGCCCCACATCAATTTCTGTGGGGTGGGGACACCTTGGGAAACCCCATGCTGAGTTTGGGAATGATACCTTGAGAAGCACACATATTGGCACAGGTGGCAACAGTGCTGCCAAGCTGGGCAGTGATATATTCAGAGCAGTCCAAATTGGGAAAGGTTGGACTCATCACAGCAAAAATCAGGTGAAGTCACTCCAAAGTTATGCTTTGAATCCCATCTTAATTCAGAATGCTGCCTGGCACCCAAACAGCAACACAGACAACCACCCCCACCTTCAGAGCTCCCGTGCCAAGTTTTGACAATGATATATTGAGACGTGGTCAAATCTAGTCCAACAAAAATGGGTGAAGTCATGCCAACGTCATTGTTTGATCCACTATTTTTATTCAATGTGTTTCCTGGCATCCAAATGACAATGTAGACCCCGCCCACCCTCTACCTTGGGTACTCTTGTGTAATTAATCACATAAATTATGTAAATTAAATGATTTTTCAATACAGCTAGACAAATTACGTACAGTGGTACCTTGGTTCTCAAACTTAATCCGTTCCAGAAGTCCGTTTGACTCCGAAAACCATTTGAAGACCAAGGCATGACTTCCGATTGGCTACAGGAGCTTCCTGCACTCAAGTGGAAGCCATGTCAGACATTCGGCTTCCAAAAAACCTTTTGAAAACCGGGACGCTTACTTCTGGGTTTGTGGCGTTTGGGACTAAGCCATTCGAGAACCAAGGTACCACTGTACTTTTTGTGGTAAACATACTGTAGCAGAATGGAAACAGAGTGGCATGTGACAAATACAAGTTGGAACAGAAAATGATGCCATGTTACATCTAGTAAGTGTCACCAAGTGTTTTCAGATATATATCTCCCCTTCAAAGTTTATTTTCTCATTTCTTTGTTTCAGTTCTACCCTATATTCCTCTACATTCTGGACCCCTTATGTGTCCCCTACAGAGAACAGTGGATTAGCTTTGACATATGGGCCTAAGGCTGTCAAGTGTAAAATGCCCTAAGGTAAAATATACCAGAGAGCAACAATGGATAGTGTACTGGGTGCCCCTAGACTCAAATCCCACTCAGCTTTCATGCTATCTCCCAATCATATTCCTCCAACTGTAAAATAGTAATGACCTTCCTTGAACAGTTTGTGAGGATGGATGAACTAAGAATTTCAAAGCACTTTATGCACTAAGGTTGCTATATAAATGGTAATCAAAACAGCATTTTTGGTGCAGAAACACAAAATAACTTCACTTTTATGGAGTCTTAGCACCAGATGCTTTATAAAATGTAAAAACACTGGGGGCTTGCTATAGAAAAGAGTTACTTTCTCATCATCCCAGCATGTTGTAGAGAGAGAAAAACTCAATAAAAATGGAAAGGGAAACTGGAATAAATATTTAGCAGGATTTTCAAACCGGGCAGATTTAATGAGACTGAATGGTACATCTTTGAACGGAGCATTCTCTTTATATGTGTGTGAATTTGAGTATTAAAATCTTCATGCTGGCTTTGTATGATTAAGTCAAGCTTCACACTGTATAAACATATTGGGAAAAGGCAACATTTACAAATATTTCAGAACGGTAGAAATCAATAGACTACATTTAAGGCATTAGCATCAGAAAAGAGAGTGACAGCAGGAGAGAAGGAAGACAACAGTGATAGAGAGCAACCCTGCACAGACATACTCCGAAGTAAGTAACACTGTATCTAATAGGGCTTACCCCATGGTAAGTATGAATACCTGTGTAGCCTAAGGCTGGATACGGGAGCAAAAATAAGATCAAGGAAACTTTCTCATGCTCTGGTGCAATGTAAGGTAAAGGTAAAGGGACCCCTGACTATTAGGTCCAGTCGTGGCCGACTCTGGGGTTGTGGCGCTCATCTCGCTTTACAGGCCGAGGGAGCCAGCGTACAGCTTCCGGGTAATGTGGCCAGCATGACTTAGCCACTTCTGGCGAACCAGAGCAGCACACAAAAACGCCGTTTACCTTCCCGCCGGAGCAGTACCTATTTATCTACTTTCACTTTGACGTGCTTTCGAACTGCTAGGTTGGCAGGAGCAGGGACCAAGGAACGGGCGCTCACCCGGTTGCAGGGATTCGAACCACCGACCTTCTGATTGGCAAGTCCTAGGCTCTGTGATTTAACCCACAGCGCCACCCGTGTCCCTTCTGGTATAATGTAGTGCTGAACTAAAGCAGAAGGTATGCTTTTCACACTTTCACCCCCAGTAAAAGACAATTTTCGGGGAGGGGATATAACAAAAGGAACAAGCGTTTGGTGTGAGTGTGAATTTCAACCCTGTAGCTGATACTATTATTTTTTTCTAGACTTTCACATCTGTACTTTTTATCTGCAACAGATAAAAACATAACCTTCCTTAGTTCTACCCCTCTTTCTCCTTTTGATAAATATTAACAGCAAAATCCGATGGGTTTGCAACTGGAATAGGCAGTGAAGAGGCCAAATGCCAATACTGTAAATGGACTGTACTAAGGTAAAGGTAAAAGGTAAAGGACCCCTGGATAGTACTTATTTATCTGCTTGCACTGGCGTGCTTTCGAACTGCTAGGTTGGCAGGAGCTGGGACAGAGCAATGAGAGCTCACCCCATCATGGGGATTCGAACCGCTGACCTTCTGATTGGCAAGCCCAAGAGGCTTAGTGGTTTAGACCACAGTGCCACCCACAACCCTCTACTGATCTAGGGAAATATGTATTGTTTACAGAACTCAGAAGAAAGAGGTAATGGTGTGGGGAGAGGAATCTAATTGAGTTACTTAGGGTGAGCCACCCTGACCGGTGAACAGGAGACACAAAAACATCATAACCTTACCCTTAAGATGAACATGGAGGCTATTTCAATCCCATTCCCCATACAAGGCAGGTAAGAGTAGCAAGACTGGTGCTTCATAGCCAACCCATAGAGTAGTCAGACTCTGGAAATGCCCATCAACCCTAAAGGTTCATAAAGGTGCTCACATGATCACATCAGTTCCCTTCCATCTTGTGTATCTACCTGCCAAATGTGACCACATAGCTAGCCACACCCACCACCCAATACCTAAATCCCCCCAGCACGCAGTACAGGCCAGGTAGATTGGGGGATTGCCTATGGACAGGCAAACCTCTCTTCCTTGGCCCTAAAGTTACTGGTTGACACCTGTAGTGAAGTTGCCAGGCAGTAGGTTGCTGGCAGCCAAAGATGAAGGCAGGGTGGGTGAGTGTCATAAAGCCCACTAGCCACACCCCCTATGACAGCATATTGTGCAAATACACACTATGAGTATCAGAATATCCAGCTTCTTCTACATCCCAGCTTCAAGTTGAAGCTAAAGTTTCTAATCAGAAGTCAGTCCCATTGAGTTCAGTGAGACTTACTCCCAGGTAAGGGTACATAGGATTGCAGCCCAAATGTCACTCCCGCCCCTTACGTCTTGCTATATATGGAGTTTCTTTCCTTTCTTCCTCCCCCTCCTCTTTATAATTGCGAGATAGTAAAATATTTGTGTTGGATACATAAAGCTCTTCCAGTTAGACTCAAACTCAATTGATTAAGTCTATTTGCATGGGGTGTTGAGGTTTATTGCAGTGCTCAGTATTACGCTTTCTAACAACGAAGAAAACTCATGCTCATTACACAACTATTGAGACGGTGAAGCTTGTTGTACATCGAACATGTCTTAAAAGGCAGCTCAGAGGCAAACAATATGATGGCTAGGAACACAATAATACCTTTATGGTGCTTGGCTTTGAAACAATTATACCACTATGTCCAGATGTTCAAAATGCAAAACACACCAGGAACAAAACAACTGCATATATTCTGTTTTTATTATTCAGTAAGGTGTTTGGGTCTGTGCAAAGCTGGGGTTGCCAAGGTGAAGGGGAGGGGTGTGATGTCACAGAAAACTTGTGTTGCTTTTAAATTAGAGGTGTGAGGAAGGACAAGCAGAGGGAAGGGGAGGTTTTGCATTTGGGGAGGGATGCTGGGAGGAGAAAGGAGAAAAAGAGGAGACTTCCATGAGTTGATGGGCAGGCCAGAATCATATTGGGGGGCTGGCAGAAGGCAGTCTAAGAGAGATGGCTGGGGACCCAATGCTCCACTGCTGTGGGTGACAAGCCCCTCTTGAGATGACAATGCTGTAAGGTCTGCACCCCCTCCATGCAAACTAGAGGTGTACATTTTGTAATTAAACCATATTTCTTCAAAATACAACAGCCGCATCTTGATTCTGAAAGGAAACACGACCCTGGGACTGCCTGGAGTCTTGTGCACCACTTGGCACAGATTGGGGTGTGTGTGCAAGCTTTGTAACAATATCTTATGATACTTACCTCTGAATATCAGTTGTTGGGGAGAAACAGTGGGAGAGGGCTTTATGCCCTGCATGCGAGCTTCTTATCGGCATCTCTTTAGGGACAGTGGGAAAAGGATGCAAGATAGGATTGGGCTTTGGAGGGTGGGTGCCACTACCGAAAAGGCCCTCTGCCTGCTTCCTTGTAGCTTCACTTCTCTCAATGAGGGAACCACTAGAAGGCCCTCGATGCTGGATCTCAGTGTCTGGGCTGAATGATGAGGGTGAAGACGTTCCCTCAGATATACAGGGCTGAGGCTGTTTAGGACTTTAAAAGTCAGCACCAACACTTTGAATTGTGCTTGGAATTGTACTGAGAGAGTCTTTCAGGACCGGTGTTATATTGTTCCAAGAGCTGCTCCCAGTCAACAACTTTTGTCAACTACTTTTGTCTACTTTATTTCCATTAAGTATATGTTCATACATTACAAAAAGCTGCAAAGTAAAACACCCACCCACGACATCAACCCCCTGCCCCTAAATCGTAACACATGATACAAGGCTGAGTTGAGAGGTTATCTTTCTCAGAGTTGCGTTATCCAAAAGGCAAGTAAACAGATATAATTGAACCTCTGAGGAGCAAAACACATCAGGTGGAATATGGAGCACCCACACAGATTCAACAGCTTGCATCTCTTCCCGCTGATTCTCCTGCCAGCTTATCTAAGGAAGCTATGGGAGGCATCTGGTGCTCTGTGTGTGATCTGGCAATGCTCCAGAAGAATCACAGAAATCTTGATCTTCCCTTGTGCAACCATATATTTAAGTGGTGTTGTTTTTTAAAACTAACAAAATTCCACACTGTATGCTCATTATGTTTTTGCCAAAATGGCTCCACAAGAACCAGGCTAAAAGCGTTATGTGGACACCTCTTTTAAAGAAAGAATCCATGAGACACTGTCCAAATACTGTCACAATCTTGTGTTAACCAACAATTAAGGGGCAGGGGACTATCTATGCTGATAATTCCTTATATTTTCAGTGTCTGACCAAGGGGAAATAATGAGGAATTGTTTCTGGTTTTGTTTTGTTTTAATGTAACATGGTTTGCTTTGTAAGCCCTATCAGGAAGTGAACGGTGTTTGCCACACTGCTGTTAATAATGTGGCATATTACATCACAAACATAAGCATGTTTTCTGAGGGTTTGTTCACATTGGAGCAAAACGAAGAACCCATCCCAGTGTTGCCCTGGACTCCCCTCCCTCCTTTAAATGTGCAAGGTTTTGATCCTTGCTATTCTAGCCCCAAGGGATGCGGGTGGCACTGTGGGTTAAACCACAGAGCCTAGGGCTTGCCAATCAAAAGGTCGGCGGTTCGAATCCCTGCGACGGGGTGAGCTCCCATGGTTCAGTCCCAGCTCCTGCCAACCTAGCAGTTTGAAAGCACAAAGTGCAAATAGATAAATAGGTACAGCTCCAGCGGGAAGGTAAATGGCGTTGCTGTGTGTTGGTCTGGTTCGCCAGAAGCGGCTTAGTCATGCTGGCCACATGACCTGAAAGCTGTACGCCGGCTCCCTCGGCCAATAAAGTGAGATGAGTGCCACAACCCCAGAGTTGTCCATGACTGGACCTAATGGTCAGGGGTCCTTTATTCTAGCCCCAAGATCCTCAGTGGGGCTTATGGTGGTGCAGTGGGTCAGTGCATCAGGCTGTTATCCAGAAGGTTGGTGGTTTGAGCCCACCCAGGGGCAGCTGTGGGCAAGATTCCTGCATTGCAGGGGTTGGGCTAGATGACAATTGAGTCCCTTTTGACACTACAATTCTGTTCTCTGGTAAGTATGCATTGCATAGGTTTGTAGGACATGCTGCAGAATGAGGTGAAGAATAGTGGGAAAGACTATTGAAAGTTGACTTAAGATTCACTGCCTGTTATTCTATAAAAGAGAACATGATGATGTTTTATAGATGGCACATGACACCATCGAAGATTGCCAAAATCTATAAGACCAAATCCACCCTTTGCTGGAAGTGCAGGGAAGTTGAGGATACTGTGATGCACTTATGGTGGGGATGCAAAAAAGTCCAAAAAAAATGGAGCTGCATCCATGAAGAATTAAAAAAGATGCTCAAAATATCTATGGGGGGGTGGGAAACCTGAGACATTCTAGCTGAGCATAGTTGGAAAGGAGGTACCACAAGATTGGAGGAAACTATTCCTATATGCAATCACAGCTGCCAGAATACTCCTTGCAAAGAACTGGAAAGGAAATCACATACCTACAAAAGAGGATTGGTTAATTAAATTAACAGAGTTTATAGAATTGGCAAAATTAACTGTGGTAATAAGATATCAAACACACCAGAAATTAAGGGCACAATGATTATGGTTTGAAGAATATATGAACACACACTGCTCTAAAGATAACATGCTGGTATGTTTAGACTAAGCTTGTAAGGTGATTTGATGTTATACCATAATAGTACTATAAAAGAAGTAATTACAGCGATAAATGATATGCAGTGTAAATAAGAACTTAAATGACTCAAAGATGACGAGTGCTGGTGGAGGGGAGTCAAATGGGTGTGGTACTTCATCCTTTTTTTCTTTCTGACCCTTTCTCTTTCCTCTCTTTGGTTTTTGGGGTTAAGTGTGTGTACCTTATTGTTTGTTTGTTTGTTTGTTTGTTTGCAAATATGCTTAAATAAAACAAAATAAACATTAAAAAGAATGTAATGTCCTGTGTGTGGTTCTTTTTTCTAATCTTTTGAGAGAGATAAAACAAGGCATTTAAATGCACGTCAATAGTATTTTGAGATAATTAAATATCACAGACTAATGTGGGTTGCTGAAGTTGTCATTCTGACTTTTGGAAAGAGTGCACTGACAGCAGTAGAGGTGAGGCCAACAAGTACACAGTATTGCTGTTCACTCTGTGCCAATTTCTGTTTACTCCTAGGAGATGGGCAAATGGCAAACTGTAGCCTTGCTTGAAAGTTGTTAGGGGCCTATTTTCCAGGGACATTCCTGGATTTATAGAAGCTATCCTGTTTTCTGATTTGATTCCAGAATGTAACGCTTTTCCTTAGGACGTCCCTATTTCACTGAAGAAATGTTGGAGGGCATGGAGTTATGTGGAGATAAGCAACTATACAGCTGTTAGAAGACATCTGAAGGCAGCCCTGCATGGGAAGTTTCTTAACGTTTTATGTTTTATTATGTATTTATGTATGTTGGAAGCCTCCCTTAGTGGTTGGGGCAACCCAGTCAGATGGGTGGGTTATAAATAATAAAATGACTGTCATCATCATCATCATCATGGAACAGGATGCCCCTATTTTCATCAGAGAAATGTTGGAGGGCATGCATTCAGGGCCAGCCCTACTATTAGGCAAAGCATGACAGCTGTCTCAGGTGGCAGATACTGGGGAGTTAGTGAAGTCCACTGCTTCTTCTGAGTCTTCCATCCAGCCATCCCCCTCTGTTGCCGCATGACTTGTCCTGGCATTTGTGGTAGAGTCCACTATCCCACCCCCTAGTGTTGCAGTAAGATTAAATTGCTAGTCTATTTGCTTTCTGTACCTGAAATGGGAAGGGCCCACCATCTTATCCATCACCACAAATAAGCAAAATGTTTGGGATTGTGCCTGGTGCCTTTTAAATTCTTGCTCTCTTTAAAATATATATATATTCCTGATTTATGGTACAGTCTACTTAGGCTCTGCTGCTATGTAACCTCCATCCATTCAAAGGAACGCATGAACACAAAAAATTGTCCATGATGGTGTAGCAGCAATTCTCACTGATGTGCTCCCTTAAAAATTAGTGGAAAGAGAATAACAATTTCTGGACACAGATTGGCTAATAA